CAGCTCATTGATCTGCCATCAGGGGACCCCCCACCCCGCGCTCATTGATCTGCCACCAGGGAAATACCCCTCCCCCCACTCACTGACCAGCCTGGGGATTTCCTGCTTTCGGACTGACTGCCGGGGTACACCACCTGAAAAGGGTTGAAAACCCCTGGCACAGAAGGACATCAGAAGAGACAGACCTGACTGTGGCAGGGAATGCTTCCTATACCTCTGGGACAGGAACTGTGGGCAGGACTTTCAAAAGTGGCTGAGGGAGGCAAGCGTCCAATAGATGCTGGGGTCATAGCTTCATTAGGCACTTCTGAAACTCCAATCCTTTCTTCCAGTGTGTTTCTACAAGCTTAACGTAAGTGGGGCATGGGGCTTCCTTTTCAGTAATTCCTCCAGTTGTTACTGCCATACTCACTATAAAGGGCAAAATCCTAACATGCTCCCATGCTTTTACTAGCACCTTGGTTCCACAAGCACCAATCGCTTCTGGGCAGTTTGCTTATCACCCATTCAGCTAATCACATCCTTCATCTACATGGAAGCATAGGACTGGATGGGACCTCCTGGGCTACAGAGCTCAATCCCCTGTGTTCGTGTGTTTGTAGGCAACCTTTTACTCAAGGATTCCCTCCACCCTCCCCACTGTCACCCTCATACAAACTTACAAGGTGCAACAGCCAAAATACAAAGAACATCTTATAGGATACTATGGATAAAAACAGTAGAGATGAGGCATTGCCAGAGGAGTGCTGTCACCATGACAGTAAATATGTTCACTAAAGTATTCTCCTACGAAGTGGACCATGGCCCATGTTAAAAAAAGAAAAAAAACCCTTCCCCTAGAGTCTGTACGAATCTGACCTAGAGAAAAGTTCCTGTCTTACCCCAAATTTGACAATTGGTATGACACTGAGTAGAAAAGTAAGATCCCCAAGTCAAGGGCCACAGTACTTTTCATTACTTCTGAAAAAAAACGCTTTCTTACAGAGAGTTAATTCAGACACCGACACACACAGACAGAGGTATAATCCCAAAGGTATTTCCTTGGTCTAAGTGATTCAGATTCTGTAGCATCCTGTCTACTGCTGCCTGATCCTACACACAGAGCACAGGCCTTCACACTGTAACTGGGAAGGCTGCCATAAAGGGACACATCATAGTAGCCATATCTTTACTGGTTTAATTCCTGAAAGATATTCCATTTAAAACCATTTCTGAGGAGAGCAATGGGGCAGCAATGAGAGGTTAACATTTAAAAATGCATTAACTCGCCCTACATCCTGTAATAGCTCTTCTAAGTATTATGTGTGGCAAATATCGAAAGACAGTCACCTTATAATTACTTTATTTTGTCCGCTATTTACACCAATGTGTTTTCCCAGATCAGGATTTCCGAAGAGCCCACTGAATGGAGAGCTTAAATGAAATTCATCTTTCAAATGTGTCCTGAAATATCAGATGAGGCTGTAGGCCCCAACTTATCTTGTGTATTCATTCAGACAATTGTGCAAAGACACCAACATAAACTTCTACCATTTTGCACATGTCAGAATGAGTACAAGAGTAATTATCACAACTTTCTGGAGTGGGTAGTCTGCTCCTTCTGAGGACGAGTTCACTGTCTGTTCCACAACTTTTTATTCACTGAGGAGAGATTTTCATGCTTCACTCCTATTTCCACAGATCACATATTTCTGCTCTGATTTGGGATTTTTGGCTGTCTTCTGTGTGTGACATCACTAGAGCTGATAACTTCTGTCCCTTGAATCTGCTGAAGTGGACAGTTTGGGTGAGTGAAGAGGAGTGCAAGCCGGGTTTAATAAAAGGAGCATCACTTCAGCACGTAATGTTAATTATCACCATGGAGGGATACTCTGGGGAATTGCTCTTTAAAACAATAAATATGCCTCTTCTGAAGTAGGAAGGACAAACACTTTATTTAGCAATTACAGGGCACTTGTACACATGACAAAAATGGGCTTTTTTTGCAGTTTAATTGTGTCACGCTGTACACATTGGGGGGCTATAATTTAAATGAGTTTACTACATTGCAAACTAAACCACATTCGCATGTAGTTTAATTTTCAACATAGCTATCTGTAATGTTGTAGCCTTTGACAGCTCTCCGCCCTACCATGGGAGAGGTGGCCTGAAAGCAGAAGCGGCAAGGGACCCAATCCTTTTTTCCACAGACCCTGCCTGTCTCTCCTGTGGCTGGAGGCGAGGTGCCAGTGGACCGAGCAGCCTCTGAGCTGTGGAGGGCCCCAGTCCTTCCTTCTGCAGCAGCGGTGCCCCCTGGGGCTGCCCAGGCGGGCTGCTAGCAGGCAGGTGCTGCCCCAGCTCGGGCTCAGGGAACAGTTAGATTAATCATCACAATTAAAATCCACCCTTTCAATTTACAGGACTAAACCCCCACGACATGTACAAGCAGCCTCTGGAAAACTTCCAGCTTAACCAATATAAATCCCCTGGGAGAAGGATGTAAATCACTATTTTTATTTTTATAGATTGAGAAACTGAGGCACACTGACCACATTACTGACACCGAGTCTAGAATACTTCATCCACCTCTCAGCAGAAATACCTGATTCTATTATGTTTGCTTTGTCCTTCTCTCCCAAATAGAACAAAGCCTTAATCTCCTTAGTCCTTGTGCCTCTCACTTGCCAAGTACTGAACCACTATATGTCCCCACAAAACTTGTTCAGAGAGCCATTTGAGCAGCTGTTTAAGTCCCAGTCACCACAGTGGGACAAAAATGCATGCTAGAATGCTTTCCTGGTATACTCGGTAACTCTACACTGGGTCTTTCCTGACCTAGAAATTAATTAAAACATTCAACAAGTCCTTCTCTGAGCCCTCTTTATCTCCCAGCAGCTAGAAAATGGCATTTAATTTGGGGCAGCTCTGCCCCCAAACCCTGGAAATCAATCAGCTCCCTAGTGACAGCCAAATGCACACCATATTCTACCCAACAGGTATAAATGCAACACAAAAAAATAGTCTGCTACCCAAAGAAGCATCCCGTGCTGTGAGAAAGTAGCTTTGGCTGAAAGCTCCCACGTTATACATATTTAATTAATACTATATAACAACATTATCCCCCTGTCCCATCCCCAAGTCTGCCTCTGACATACTTGATGCAGCTGCCATCTAAGTGTGGCCCAGTCAAATTTCACCCATTTTTATTTTACCTTTTCATAGTTTATATACTACTAAACCTGGGAAGATATTCTATTAAGGCAGCGTGGTGGTAATGATGATGATGAACTAGGCAGATAGATAAGGTTTCCCTTAGAATTTCTGTATTGTTTTAGGTAACTATGCAGAACTTTTCAATTGCTGAATTACCTACATCAAGCACTACCAAAGCAAATGCAACAATATACATTGTGTGTAGTGTGTGCCAGGAAAATGACAAGCAGTTAA